GCCCCCGCCCCCCGAGCCCCCTTCCCGTCCGCGGATGAGCCTGTTCTGGACGTGTCACCCACGTGGACTCACACCCCGCGTGGCCTTCCGTGTCCGGGTCCCTCCCTGAGCGTCGTGGGCTCGGGGTCCGTCCCCGGGGCCGCGCATGTGGGCGCCTGGCTCCTGCTCGCGGCCGAGGACACTCCAGAATACGGATAGGTCACATTTTGTTTATCCTTTTTGCCACTTTAGGGACATTTGGGCTGTTCTACCTTTTGGCTTCCGTGGACACACGCCTGCATCTCTCTTGGGCCCACACCTGGGAGGGGAGCGGCTGGGCCACGAGCCCACCATGTGACCACCTGGGAGCTGTCAGGATGCCTTCCACGGCGACTGCCCCGGCCACGTTCCCACGGGCTGCATGTGGGGCTCCGCTCGCGGCACATCCTCGCACCTGTGTGCTGTGCGCAGCTTCACAGCAACCCCCTCCCCCCCGCTGCCACATCCCTACGGGCCAGCCCCCCCCCGCCCCCCTCCCCGGCAGTCCAGGCGGGTGAGGTGCCTGGTGGGGATGCAGACGGTCTTGCCTCACCTTCAGTTTTGAGGCGCTCTGCCTCAGCCGAGTCCTCCTCTGAAGGTGGAGTTCGCTCGGGGCTTCTCAGGTCCTGCAGCACTTCCTGGCCCCAAGGCAAAGACGAGCTGTTTAAGGGGCAGCGGGCAACCCTACCGCTTTCCTCCTGCTCCAGGGCCGCTCCAGAGGGCAGCTGAGCTCCAACGGGGAGGACCTCAGGCCAGGGTGGCCGGGGCCGAGCCCCCCACTTCCCTGTCTGCAAACCGGGAACCACGCTCCACGGCACGCAGCCTGGGAGAGAGTGTGGGCCCCACACGAGTGCTCCGGAGCCCTCGGCCACTCGTGCTGTTACTTTTGTTCTGGGAAGCCCAGAGATTCACCTTGCCCGCAGCAGCTGCTTCAAATATTTCCGGAAGAGTCTGAGGGAGAGCGAGGTCACGGTCTTCAACAGTCACCCCAAAAGCAGTCTCCAGGCACTGGATCGCAACTGGGAGGGAGACAAAGGCATTTTCTTCTGAACGCAGCCCAGACTTTAGGACTTTGGGGCTCAGAGGGAGTCCCTCCCCTGAGAAACCCGGGCCAACGGCCCGGCACCTGCTGCCGAAACGCCACCTCCCACCGTGTCACTGCGAACTGAAGCAGCTGGACGCCAAGGCGCTGGTGGCGGGGTCCGGCCTGGGCTCCTCGCCCACCCAGCCCCGTGCAGGTTCCAGCGGCCGTGGCTGCCCCTCCCTCTTTGAAGAGAGAGCCTTTCCCCTCTCCTCAGTGGAGTTGCACACGTGCAGTGGTGGAGAAGGTTCCGGAACTGCCCCTCGACGAAAGATGGGGAGATGACCAGAACACCTGCAGGATGCTGGGCCCGAGGTGACGGGGGCTGGCTACATGTGGCAGGAAGGAGGGAGGGCAGTGGGCCCACAGGTACCTTCCAAGCTCTCCTGGGCGTCGGATGAGAGCCCCCCATGCCGGAGCTGGTCGTGCAGGAACCGGATGATGGCGTAGGCCAGGCGCTTCTTGTTATCCATCTTGAAACAGGAAGAGACAACGCCCTGGGGTTTTCACGATCTGCGGACCCAAGCCAAGGGCGTGAGAAGCACAGATGGGGGGCATGGGTGCTGCTCAGACAGCACCCCCGGACTGCTGGGCCTGGCTTACCAGGCCTGCGCCAGCCCCACCCCAAGGAAGCCACTTTAAGCACAAGTGAGGGCGATTATGACCCCATTTCACAGACAGACACTGAGGCTCCCTCGGGCAGGTGGAGTGTTCCCAGCCATCCTGCCTCCTTACGCTAAAGAAGGCCACGTGGCCTTGGCCGTCACCACCTCTTCACAGATTCAGTGGCACACAGGGACTCCCAGGGATGCAGAGGGCCAGCCCGTAAGTGCTAGTCCTGCAGGTCTACGAACCCCAAGTTTTAGCTAAGCACAAGCCAGACCCCAGTCCCACCTGCTTCTCCACTCGGACTGAGAAAACAAACTGACGGTTCTCCAGGTCCTGATACCCCCGAGGGACATGAGGGGGTTGGACAAGTATCGTGGGGGGCGGGGCGGGGGCAGGAGCGAAGGGGCCCAGAGTAGACCAAAAGGCCCCAGAGGCACCGAGCCCTTTCCAGGCCGTCCGAGGGCCTTCTCTGGGTCCCTCCCAGGCCAGGAGTGATCCGGCCTCAGGGGCTCTGGGCCATGTCTGGGTATGTCTGTGGTGCTCCTGGCATCGGGTGGACCTGCTGCTCAGCCCCCGGCTCCCAGGATGCCCACACAACAGAGAACTATCCGGCTCCAGCGTCAGCAGTGCCCAGAGGAGAGCCCTGGTCTGGAACATTCCGGGGGTGAGGGGGGTCTGCCACCTGAGGGTCCATGATGGATCAGGCACGTCACAACACCGTCTCATCCCCCTCCACACCGTCTCATCCCCCTCCACACCGTGACCTCCACGGCCGCTCCCGCTGACAGAGGCAACAGGTTGGCGTGGGGGTCTGGGAGAAGCGGCTGGCCCAAGGCTGCTCAGGTCCACCTGCACAGCCGAAACCTGCAGCAGGAAGCACCTCGGTCTCCCGAAAACTCCTCCAGTGGGGTGAACAGCCTGTGCCCCATAGAAAACGAGCAGCAGGCCTCCTGACCACATTCTCATGAACCTGTTACCAGCCACGATGGTTAAACGAAGTTGGGAAGAGTCCGTCATGCAGCCCCAGGCTCTCCACCCTGAGATGGGGTCAGTACGGGGCGGGGTCACCGCCACTGGGCAAGGGCAGTCAAGACGCTCGGTGCTGGCCGTGTGCAGAGCTCGGTCTCTGGTTCACGGGAATCTATGTCCATCGACAGCTGCTTCTTAAAGTGAGGGAACCAGACACAGAAGGCCACACGGGGTGTGATTCCACCGGGATGTGGGACATGTCCAGAACAGGTTCATCCACGGACGGGAAGGGGGCTTGTGGGGGTTGGGGGGCTGGGGTAGAGGTGGGGAATGATAGCTGATGGGTACAGAGTTTCTTTTTGGGGTGATGGAATGTTCTAGACTTAGAGAAAGGTGTCGGTTACACAGCAGTGTGAATATACCAAAATTCACTGAATTCTAAGGCATGTGAATTATACTTCAATCTTAAATAAGGGAGAAACTTAAAACATTGTGTTCCGTAAAGCAGGCGAAGTAATTAAAGCTCTTTGAGGATGGTAATGAGCTTCCCATTTCTGGACACAAAGCCCCTTTATCTAGCAAGTGCCTTTGGCCGGAGAGCCTCCCTAGAACTGGAAGGTCTGGGATCAGGATGGGCTGGTGCCCAGAGGACGAATGGCCAGTCCCAGACCAGAGGACCTTAGGGGCAATAGAGGGGCCCACAGAGATCAACCACCACAACCCACTTGTTTTGGGGGAAGCAAAGCTCCAAAAGGAGTCCTGGTCCCCAGCTGAGAGGGTATAGAGAGTAAACCAGTCAGCCTGCTGACCACCAAACCTAGGAGAACAGACTAAAATGTCAAACTGTTCCCATTTTAGATATCTGTTTCGGCAGCGGCATTATTTACAGCAGCTGACGGGCAGACACGACACCAGCGTCCATCCATGGATGAATGAATAAACATGGTGCAGTCCGTCCCCACGCGGGAACACGCTCCAGTCTTAGAAAGGAAGGGACCCTGACACCTGCCACAACGTGCAGGGACGCTGAGGACACTGGGCTCAGTGAGAGGAGCCAGACCCAGAAGGACACATCCCGCAGGACCCCACTCCCAGGAGGTCCCCAGAGGAGTCCCGTCCACACAGACAGAGAGGAGAGGGTGGGAGCCGGGGCTGGGGCAGGGGGTGGGGAGTCCGTGCTTCATGGGGACAGTCTCCATGTGCGGAGATGAAAAGTTCTGGAGACGGAGGGTAGGGGTGGTCGCAGGGCCATGTGAGTGTGCTTCATGCCGCTGAGCTGTGCGCTTAGAGATGGTTATGACAGTAAATTTTGTTATTTATATCTTATTAGAAATTATAATTAGGCGCCTGGGTGGCTCAGTTGGTTAATCATCTGCCTTCGGCTCAGGTCATGATCCTGGAGTCCCAGGATCGAGTCCCACATTGCATTGGGCTCCCTGCTCAGTGGGGAGTCTGCTTTTCCCTCTGACCCTGCCCCCTCTCGTGCTCTCTCTCTCTCTCAAATAAATAAAATCTTAAAAAAAAGAAATTAGAATTAGAATTTCTAATTAGAATTAGAAAAAGTTTTGTTTTCTTTTGTTTTCGAAGTCTGAGGTCCTCCCCTTCAGATGTACAGTCCCAGGACCCTTTGTATGTTGTGTTCTAAGTTAGGCCTTGAGGGTCACGTCTGGGCAGCTGCCTATGGACAATGAATCTTGCCTTCTTAAGTCATGTAAGTGCCTACACCCCACCTACGGGTTCCAGGCACCACTTCTGAGCCTGGTTCCCTTCCCCTCCCCTCCCATGGGTCACTCACACTGGGCTTTCTGTATGCATATGTGTGTATGGGAGGACAGGGCTTGGTCTTCTCTCCCAGGGAATGAATGCAGGTCTTGATGGTGATGTGTGCTCACTTAAGAGTAGACTGAGAAAGGAAGTCTGGTCTTTAGCAGACGTTTCCTGCCCTCCTGGTCTGAGTGGTGAAGATGGGGGGAGGGGAGTGTATGAAACTATTGAGGTTCATGGAGGCAAGGGTTCAAAAAACTAAAGACCAAGTCACGCTCCTTTCTGGCATACTTCCAGTCCTTCCCATGCCCCCAGATCTTGGAGCCTCAGGGCATTTGCACATGAGGATCCCCTGCCCCCAAAGGACTTGAAGCACTCTGGCCTGATTTCCCCAGCATAAGCTCTCACTGCCTGCTTCCTGGGCTTCTCCTGATCTGTTGCTTGGTCTTCTCTCAAATGCCAGCCCCTCCAATGCAATTCACTGTCAATAAATCAGAGTCCCCTGGAGCCTGCCCTGGGCCTGGCATAGTGATGACAGGCCAGAGAGGCCTGATTTGCCTGGGTGGACAAGAGCCTGGAGTCATGTCTTAGGGCCAGCCATCTTTGCCTGAGGCCGGTTCCACGTCACCTTCCCCACCCTAAGCTAAAGAATGCTCTTTGTCCCATCTCAGAGAGTCGCAACCAATACCCTCGTTTTTCTCTTCTATAAAATGGGATAACAGAGGTGTCCTTACCAGCTGTTACAAGAATTCGTGACTTAATATAGAGTTTCTCTACCTTGGCGCTACCAACATCAGCGGGTGGATCATTCTTTGCTGGTGGCAGGGGCGGGACCTACCCTGTGCGTGCAGAGTGGTAACCGCATCCCTGGTCTCTGTCCAGTGTGCCCTGAAGCAAGGGGCAGAATCTCCCCCCGGGTGAGACCCCTGGGTCAGGGGGTTTCACTGACCCCCAGGAGACTGTGCTCTGTAACCATCTGACTCCTGAGGTCCTGGGATGCTGCACATGTTGAAATATACACACTGTGTCAGAGAGAGAGAGGGGGTGACTCACAGACGCTGGGGTCGCCCTGGTTTGTACCCTCTGACCCCGGGGGATTTACTCTGGCGTCCAGTGTGAGCAGGGACCAGACTCAATATTTTTCCAAATAATCACTGCAGGGTCTCTCCCACTTGGCCCTAACATTGGAGGCAGGTCACTCTCTGTGGGGGCGTCCTGAGCACTGTAGGGGTTCAGCAGCATCCCTGGCCACACCCCTTCAATGCCCCTCCCCACAGTGGTAACAGCCACAGATGTCCCCAGACATGGCCAAACCACCCAGCTGAAAACCACTGAAACTCCAAGTGAGAAAAGTAAAGGCTCTAAATCAGTACAAGTCAGATTTTTCTGGCCCAAGAACTTTGATGCAAACTTTCTGGAAACTTTCTGTTTGCACATTTTGGGCTTCAGCCCTGCAGCAGAGAGAGCCTGGGTCCACAGCCGAGGACTATGTCCCCAAGGTGTGAGAAGGAGCCAGCAAGGCATTTGACACAGGTGGTCCACAGAAACTCTTGCTTCTTTGCGAGACAGTTTGTGAATCTTACTTCCACGTATGGCTTTTGAGATGAACCACCTTCTGCTCTCCACAAAGCTGGGCCCAACAAAACACGAAGACAGCACTTTTCCTTGACTCCTACCAGGCACCCGGACCCTTCTGAACAATCACAACTTGTAGGGTTTTGGCTGCTGGACAAAATTCTCAGAGAAGGCCTACTCTCTGAACAGTGAGTGCTTTATGAGCTCTCAGAAAGCACCACCGAGGTGCCAGCCGCACAGGGTGCTCGACAAGCCTAGTGAGGGTGGAGTAGGGGGTCCTGGGGCCAGCTCCTCCGGTGGTCTTCACAATCCCTCCCGGCTCTCAGTCCACCTTTTCGTTTCCACATTTAAAAACAAAAACAGCCTCTGCTTCTTTTATTTCCCTGCCCAGAACTGGTCAAAGGGAAAAAATGGCATGCCTCACTAAAATGAGCGACCTCTCACCCACCTCGGACGGTGGAGCGCCCGCTGCTGAGGGCTGCCTGCCTCCATCCTGAGCCCGGACCTCTGCTCACAAACAGCAGTGTGCGAAGCCTGGGCTCTAGTCCTCTCTCTCATCCTAGCCCGCCCCTGGTGTCTGAGCAAGGACTGTCCCGAGGCTTGAGCCCACGACCCCCATCAAAGCCTGTTTCTTCTAAAATGCCGCCAGAATGCTCTGCATGCTTAAAAACCATCAAAAGCTCCCTGAAACTTCTTGAGTGTGCATGTGATGCCTTTCACCGAACTCTCAGTGGCTCCGCTCAAACACAACTGCTCACCTTTCCTCCAACCCACCTGGAAACTCTTAATTCCCTTCAACACTGAGCTGCAAAGATATCTCAGACAGAGCTAGATGCCCGTTATTTTTTGGCAAAGTCCAAGTACCAGCCTTATCAGCAGCCCAGAAGGCTTTAAAACTGTCATCTGTCTCCCGCCCTCACCCAGACTGTGAGCACTGGACAGACATCTTCCCTTTCAACTGCAGCACTCAGCAGTGTCTGATCCATATGGTCTTGGAAAAACATTAGATCCCTGTCAAATTGAGAGCCACCCGACCAAGTTCTCTGGGAAGACCAGAAGAGACAACAAACCTTGGGTCTTGCCTACCTACCAACAGTTCCCTTTATTCCTTCAACCCCCTTGCTGAGCATTTCCCACAGGGGCTAGCGTTGGGTCTTGGTAAAAAAAAAAAAAAAAAAAATTGGGGCGCCTGGGTGACTCAGTCGTTGAGCATCTGCCTTCGGCTCAGGTCATGATCCCAGGGTCCTGGGATCGAGCCCTGCACTAGGCTCCCTGTTCTGTGGGAAGCCTGCTTCTCCCTCTCCCACTCCCCCTGCTTGTGTTCCCTCTCTGGCTGTCTCTCTGTCAGATAAATAAAATCTTTAAAAGAAAATGTAAGCTCAAAGTTAAGACTATAGCTCACAAACTGGGGCAGAGCTTAACCCTGTTTACAGTTGCTCACCCTTCCTGAAAGACTGAATTATAAACCTCAGGTGAAATCCTTGGTGTGCTGAGCACTTTCCAGGCCCCGAGCTCAGTGCAGTGCATGCAATCACTTATGGAGGGGGTCAGTGATCATTTTCTGAAAAGGGCCACAGGGCTTTTGTGGAAACCACTCAACTTTGGTTTTGTGCAAAAGCAGTCACAGGTTTTGTGATGAACTGCGCCCACAAAACTTCATTTACAGGAACAGGCTGCAGCTGGATTTGGCCCCCTGCTCACAGTCAGCCGAGTCCCTGGGTTGTTTATGACAAACCCCATTGTACAGAAGGAAAAACTGAGGTTCAGAAAGATGGGGGTGCTACCCGAGGTCACCCAGCTTAGAAGACACAAACCAGGAATTTTGAGCCCAGCAGTCGGGACTCCAGAGCCTCCTAAACTCCGAAGTGCCCCTTCCTCTCCCCACAAAACCTGCACATTTTCTTGAGTCCATACCCCACCCCCTTGTGTGCAGCTCATGCCGGTGAAGAAGCACTGGTCTAGAGGAAGGTTTAACTTCCCCACTGTGGACACTGCAGACGGTTCTCTGCGGGGAAGTCCTGGGCACTGCCCAGTTAGGCAGCATCCCTGGCCCCCACCCACTTTCTGCCAGGAGTACACCCAGTCGTGGCCACAACAAATGACCCCCAGACATTACCCTGTGTCCCCCAGGGCGATAAAACCACTGGTCTGGGGAGAAGAAAAGCAGACAGACCAATCAGAGATAGAAAACCAAAGGAAATCCTACGGGATGCAGACTGCACGTTTTCTGACACCTAATAAACCAGCCATTCTCTAGTAAACTCTTAACAAGCCCAAGGAACCTGAGCAGAGAATGTTCTGCTTATTTAACTTAACAGAAAACCTAGGAAGCACGTTCTTCTAGGGTCCCTGTTTTAGAAGAAAAGCGCTGCTCAGAGAGGGAAGCGATCTGCCCCAGCTCACACAGCCAGTGAGAGGAGGTGGAGCTGGTCCTCAGCCCCAGCTCCTCCCCACCTCTAGCACAACCGACAGAAGACCCGAGCTGTGAAAGACCTAACAGCCGCTATTAAGCTCTCACTTTGCGGGGGGCCCTGCCGCTTTAATCTTCCCAAGACCCCCACCTCCCACCCCACTCAATCTGGCAAGGACCGTGACGACGCCCGTTTTACAGCGGGGGAAACTGAGGCTCCGGGAAGCCAAGAGGCTGGCCAGGTGGAGAGTGGCGGCTCTGGGACAGAACCCCGACCTGCGCCCCACGAACGGGGTCCCCATTCAAAGGGACTGTGTTTCTGGGCAGAAGACACCCTCACTGCTTGCGGGGCGTTTTCACCTCCCGCTGTCCACCCACGGGCCTGCGAAGCAGCATTTCCCGGGCCTGGGGTCCGGGGGAGGTTGACCAGCGCCGGCGAGGGCCTGCCCGACGCCACCCTTCCTCAGTTTCCCCTTCGCGCCGCCCACTCACAGCAGCCAGCTGATCGCGGCGACCCCAACCCCAAACCAACCTCTCCCCCCGGCCCTGGAACCGCGAGAGCTCCGAGCCGCGGACCCCAAGCCCAACCGGCACAACGCCGGGCACCCCCCTCCACGACTCACCTCTCAGGCGGCCGAACGCCGACCCACCGACGGCTGCGCCTGCGCACCGCGGCGCTGCCCGGCCCCGCCTCCGGCCGCGACGCCTGCGCGGAAGGAGCCGGCTCCCGTTGGGTTTTATTCTGCGCAGGCGCGTTAATTATCGAGGCGGGCGTGGGGAGAAGTGACGTAACTTAGAGGTGGGGGGAGAGCGGTTCGTTAGGGCAACTGACCTCTGCGACCGAACGGAGGCCGGAAATCAGGAGCGATTTCCCCTCTCGAGCGGGAATGGAGCGGTGCATGGTGGGACGGTGGCGGACTCCGGCGCGTTCCGCAGAGCCGGTCACGTGGCACCGAGCCGGCCACGTGGTGTTGCTGTGTCCGGGTATCTGGCGCCCGGAGCCGCACAGGCGCTCTGTGAATGGGAGCGACTGTTACCCGCAATCTTTTACACTTACCCACCCATCCACCCACAAACGCATTCTTTCATTCAGTCAACGCACAAGACGTAAAGGAACGCAAACATGTATGTTTAGAGCAGGTGCTTAATAGCGAACAAGTATTTACTGCAAACCAACTGTAAAAACCAGGAAAGTGTTCGCTCCCATTACCTTGTACCGGGGTCGACGAACTACAAACTAGTACACTAGGACGTAGACGAACCCTTTTCACCTGATGGCAAGCTCTATAAAGACAAAATGGCGTGCCAGGACTATGATTGGGGAGGCAGGTGGGCCGGGATGGTTAGGGAAGATCCACCTTGTCGAGGTGGATTTGGACGGTAAGGGAAAAAACTCCAGGTACGGAAAACGGCGAAAATGAAGATTAAGTAGGATAAAGCTTGGTGGGCTTAATAGAGGGTGAGTGATGAGGAAGTTCCCTAGGATGACTCACAACTGATCACCGTTAGTGTTGAAGTTGCAAGAAGCGTTCTCCTAATTCACTTTTATCCTATTTAAACGCATGCATGTTTAAAGCCCGGTGTTCTTTAACTTCTTTTGCAGAAATAAGGGGAGTGGGTTTTTTGGCCATTTTGGCTCTAGTAAATTTTCCTGGGCCCCTTACTTCAAGATTTTGTTTGTTTTAATGGACTTACGATAGTTACAGGGTAGGATACTGCACCGTTTAAAAACACCTGTTGTTTGAAGTCCCGATTCATTTATTGAAGCTTTCTCGATTTTTTAAAAAAACTGCCTTTCATTTAATTGATTCACCGGATTCTGCTGATATACGTGTCCTGCCTATATTCGTTCGATGCTAGAAGTTGGGTAGGATGCTGGTTGGGAAAATCTACAAAAAGCGCCTGAGATCTGGACGGTAAGGGGTTACTAACGTGACGCCCTCAGGTGCGGGAGAAAACCTGCAAAATTAGCCCAATACAGTTATAAAAGTAGAAAGGGGGCAAGCACAAATTAATACGGGAGCTAGAAGCCCAGGCAGAGAAATCCAGGCAGAAAGAACCGCGACTACACAGGATTCTGGGCGCCAGCTGTGTGTGGTTTCCATGGAAACGTCCCTCCCGGGCCTCCCCGAAGGTTCCGCCCCCCTCGCCGCCAGAGCCAATGACGGACAGGGAGGGTTCTAGCGCGTGCGTAGAGGGCGTCAGCCTCCCAAAGCACCGCCTCGCGGTGTGGGCGGAGCTGGGGCGCGCGTGCGCCCTGTCCTTCGGCGCACGCGCCCTCCCAGCATTCAGCGGGCGCGCGGGCGGCGGGCACCTCGGTCCCGGCTGCTGCGGACCCTGAGCGGACGGAGGCGGCCGGCCGCGGCAGCTGAGGCACCGCGACGCGGACCAGGTGGAGGGAGGGGCCGCCGGTGCACACCCGCCCGCCATGAAGCCCCCCGCAGGTACCGGCTGCCCCTCGGAGCGGCCCCGCTGCCCGGACCCGGGCGTCCCCTCCATCCTCGCGCCTCCCGGGGTCGCGACTCGGGCCTAGGAGCGGAGCCCAGTGATCCTCGAGGGGCTGGAGCCTGGGGGGGATGGGTCGGCGAACCCGGGACCCCGCCCCCTCGGCGGCCGAATGAATGAACCAGCTTTTCCAGCGCTTCACTCATTCAGCCAACTCCGTGCGTGTGGCTTCCGCTGAGCACCGGTCGGGCCCTGGGGGCGGACTCCGGGGGGGGGACCGTGAGTTCTCGGCGGAGTCCCACAGCCCGAGAAAGCCAGCAGAGAAGCGAGCCAGGGCTTTAGGGAGTGGTCGGTGGTGGGGCTGACGGCGCTCCTCTCGAGAGGGCGGTCCCTGAGGGGCTTCTCGGAGGAGGTGGCCTATCAGCCCGGACCCAGCGCGGGAGAAGCAGCTGTGCTGCCCTGACCTGCGGGAGCACCTCCCCAGGTGGCGGGAACTGCGAGGGCGAAGGCGAGGAGGCAGGTGCACGCGGAGCGCGTTTGGGTAGCAAGTCATTTCGGGGAGAACGCAGCTCGGAGTCCCTTTTATTCTAAGGGCAGAGGGGCGTCCTGAAAGGGTTTTCGTTATGGGAGCGATGGGGTGTGCGTCCTGTATTTAGAAAATTGCCCAGGCTGCTGTGTGGTGCCTCCTGAGTTTTCTCTTGCTGGTCTCCCCCCGCCCCCCAGGTTCTTTCTCCAGCCGACTGTGATGATAATTGCATTAATGATAATCATAATTAGGGTTATTCAGGCCTCAGGAGGGCAGGAATGTTACTGGGACAGAGCATGTAGGTGGCAAGCTGAACTACACAGGATGAATGCGTCCGCTCCAGCTTTCAGGTCCTAGCTCCTGCGGGAGATTTTGCTGACAGTTCTCAGCGTACACGCATCTCCTACCTTGTCCGAGCTTCCGGAGCCCTTGTTTGCCACCCGATGTAACCCAGACCCGCATCTTTTTTCTGCAGTTCTGAAGTCCGCAATGCTCTGCAAGCGGAACGATTTTCCCTAAGCTCGTGGCAGTCAGTTGGCCAGAATATCCGGCCTGCCCTGGCTCAAGAGCCTTTCTTTTTCCCACTTAGTGTATGTCAGTGGTCCTCAGCTGGGGTGATTGCGGCACGCCAGGGGACACTGGGCAGTGTCTGGGGACATCTGTGGTTGTCATGATTGGGGGTGCTCCTGGCATTGAGTGGCTGGGGCCCCAGGGGTGCTGTTCATACCCTACAGTGCCCAGGGTGGACCCCCACCCCAGAGAGCGACCCAGTCACAGATGTTGATAATGTTAAAAAAAAAACACCCTGCCCTAGAGACACCAAACACGGGTCCCAGCCAGCAGTACCCTGCAAAGATCCCGTCCCTCTTCAGTATTCACAAAAAGGCGGGTAGTCCAGGACTACTGTGGCCCTGGTCAACTCCCTGCCATGCCAGAGGGGAAAATGGGGCACAAGTGGGTGTTTCCTGGAGCAGCTTCTACTTATTCTGCCTTCCATACTCTACTGGGGGATCACACAAGCCTGTGTTCATTAATTGAAGTAATTTGGGGCAGGTGTGGCCATTTGAGACACACAGGTGCCGCAGGGATGCCATTGGGATGTCTGAGGAAGGAGCATGGAACGGAGGATTGGTAGGATTGGGGCTCAGGGCAGAGGGGACAGCCTGTGGGAAGGCCTGGGAGATACCTTGAAGAAAGCAGGTGTGGCTAGGCACAGGCCAGCTGGCCAGACCTGCTAAGCAAGACCCAATAGAGTGTGGATGGTGTAGACCAGGGGTCAGCAAACCAGTCTGTAAAGGGCTTGCTAGTTTAGGCTTGGTGAGTCACTTAGTCTCGTGCAACATCATTTTGACCCTGTGGGCTGTACAAAAACAGGTTGTCATTTGCTAATCCCTGGTATAAACTCCAGTAAGGGTTGAAGCGGGGTGGAGCCCTGGAAAGGGGGCAGGAAGATCTGACAATCAGATATTTACAAAGGTGGGGGGTGCACACGATACACTGGTTCACAGGGTTGGAGCCGAGGTCAAACTGCACAGGTTTGAATCCTACCTCCGCCACTTGCTGGCGTGAGACTTGAATTCTCTAAATCTCTGGACCTCCATCTGTACAATGGGGGCCACATAGAACTCAGAGTTCAGAACTGCGAATCAGTGAGGGAATGAAAGTAAAACATCTTTACCCTGAACACTGCACAGCAGTTTAAGCGACAGATGTTTTTACAGACCACGGTCTCTTATCCAAAAAGTCTTGGGTCTAGGGACGTTTTAGCAATAAGGAATTTTCCCTATTTTAGGAAAGCAATACAGTGTAAATGTCACATTACATCAAGGGACGTCAGGGGTAGCGCCCTTTAATCGAGTAAGTTAACTCAGATGGAGGTGTATACCAAATATCCACCCCAGCACTGCCGATGTTGGGGCTGGGTCATTGTGGGGTGCCCTTGGGCCTTGCCTACCTGCATGGGGAAACCATGCTCCTGTCCTTGCCCTCCAACCCCTACTTAGTCTAACCCTACTTCTGTCCTTGAAGCAGACACATTCAGTGTGGGGCTCTGTCTTCTCTGTCCAGCCTGTGCAGGAGATGTCCTGGACACAGCGGCCCCGTGCTCCGTGGTGAACTACCTAAGATGGGACCTGAGCGCCCAGCAAATAGGGGAGCTCACTGTGGAGCTCATTGAGCAAACTAAGCGTGTATATGACCAGGTGGGCTCCCAGAAGTTTGAAGACGTGTCCTATGAGAGTACCCTCAAGGCGCTGGCTGATGTGGAGGTGTCCTACACAGGTAAATCCGGGTCAGGATCCAGGCAGGGAGGCAGAAGTGCTCAGGCCTTGGAGCTCCTGGACCCTGGCCGTGGGTGAGGCCTCCTCCTCCCCAGGGGGATGGTGATGGATATAGGAGCTGCCTGGGGGTAAAGGCATCTGCTCGGCAAGAGGCAGCCCGGAGGGCCGCTGGTTCCCCTACGTGCCCTGCTGCACAGCCTGGCGGACTTAGTTCTCACGGGCTGCGTCATCTGAGGGTCCAGAGCAGGACAGCCTGTCTAACAGCACTCCTCTCTAGGAGCCAGCTCCCGTGCCAGCCTCGAAACCGCAGCCACTCCTTGCTCCTTCTCTCTGAGCAACTGAACTTGGCCCCCTTTGCTTTTCTTCTCCCCCCTGCACTTTGGTAGCTTGATGCCATTAGGTGTCCTCATCACCACCCAACTGGATCCTTCTCTCCTTGGGGTCTGTTTGCTCCCTTTGTGAGGGACAAGGTGCTCAAATAGATGCAGAGCTGCTTCCCTGAGCCCACTCTGTAGAGGTTGATGGTGTGGGGACAAAAGACCAAGACGGGTCTTGCAGCAGAGAACTCTGAGCTGAGGAAACCCTTGCTCCTGGATCTCTAGCAAAAGTCCTTTTTCTGGGAACCTTTGAGAATCTCTGCTGGGGGGTTCTCACGAAGCCTCCCTGTGCCGCGTTTGCTAGATGCCGTGGATTTCTGTGCTGCCTTCAGGTGGGTGCACCTCAGTCTTCCCCCCTCATCTCTTTCTAGAGAGGCTCTTGGCAATTGCGTGATGCTAATTCCTGCCTATTGGGCATAGCCCTGCCAGACACCAACTTCACTCCTACAGCCTTTTTTTCTGTCTCCCCACAGTAGCCCAAGGAATTTTGTTTTATTTTTAAAGATTTTATGTATTTGAGAGGAAGAGAGGGCACACATGTGGATGTGTGCATGACGGAAGAGGGGCAGAGGCAGAGGGAGGAGCAGGGACCCTGATGTGGGACTCGATCTCAGGACCCCGAGATCATGACCTGAGCCAAAGGCAGACGATTAACCAACTGAGCCCCCCCCAGGCTCCCACCCCCCAAGGAGTTTTAAAGGAAACTAAAATTGAATCAAGGCATTCCCCCCCACCAGCCCCTCAGTGTCTTTCCACTGCCCTCCGGACAAAGGCTAGAGTCCTTGATGTTGCTTTTGGTGCTGTTCGCCCCTCTCTGACCTTCCTCAAAGGTGTGAGTGCCCGGCCATGTGGCTGCTCGCACCTGCTCACACTCTCCTGTCTCGGGGCTTCACACACCCCCTGCTTTGGTAGATTTTGGGCTTCTCTGTGATCACAGATTAACTCCCCTCGGCAGCCCCTTCCCGGGCCCCCTCTGCTCTCACGGGCTGCTTGCATCGATCCCACACACTGCACGATTTTGTTGTCACACTTGGTGCAGTCACAGGCGCTTGTGAGCCTGTAAATCCCAGACGGACGGATGCTATTTCTGTCCTTTTCACTGTCCTCTCTTGCGCATCCGGCAGCAGGTCTGGCCTGGGGCCACGGGAGCAACCAAGCTGTGATTTGAATACAGGTCTTTCCAATGCAGAGTGTATGCTTTTTAAAACTAAATGCTCCGTGGAGATCTGATTTACATATCATAGAATTTGCTCAAAGCATACATTTCAGTGGTTTTTATATTCAGAGTTATCCATCACCATGTTTTAATTCTAGAACATTCCATCACCCCAAAGGGAAATCCTGTCCCCATCAGCAGTCACTCCCCATCTCCAACCCACCCCCTCAAGCCCTGGCCCCCACGAGCCCCCTTCCCGTCTGTGGATGAGCCTGTTCTGGACGTGTCACCCACGTGGACTCACACCCCGTGTGGCCTTCTGTGTCTGGTTCCTTCCCTGAGCGTCGTGGGCTCGGGGTCTGTCCCCGGGGCAGCGTGCGTGGGCGCCTCACTTCTGTTCACAGCCAACTGACATGCTGGTGTGTGGGGGACACGTTGAGTTTGTCCGCCCACCTGTCAGTGGACATTTGGGTCATGTCCACTTGGGTTATTCACGGTCCTGCTGCTGTGAACACGTGATTTTTGTGTGATTGCATGTAGGCACCTAGTGGTATGTTGCCCGGTCAGGCGGTGATTGTTAAAGCTTACATTCTCACAACCACCCATGCTTCCTCTGTTTAACGAAATGCGAGTGTGCTCTGTAAGTTAGAAAATTGTTTATGAATTTAAAATGCTGCCATCAGCAGCCGTGGCTCTTTTTCTGGAATTGAGTTATTTTAGCCTCTCTAGATCTTGTCATACTTCTCTGTTACGGTCCTTCTTTCCTTGGAGTTTGGGAGTTGAGTCTGTTTCCATTGAACTGTGAGATCCCCGAGGACATGGATGACCAACCATGCCCCTTTCTTCCTTCCGGCACCCAGCCCAGGGCCCAGTGTGGAGAGCGTTCACTGAACAGATCGGCAGATGTGGATGAGCTACGTGCCTGGCGGGGTGAGGTTGGTATGTGCCAGTTTCTACCTGGGGCCGATTTTCACACCTGTCCCGTTCTCCCCCCGTTTCAGTTCAGAGGAATATCCTTGACTTCCCGCAGCACGTTTCTCCATCTAAGGACATTCGGATGGCCAGCACAGAGGCGGACAAAAAGCTGTCTGAGTTTGATGTGGAGATGAGCATGAGGCAGGATGTGTACCAGAGGATTGTCTGGCTGCAGGTGAGGATGCAGTGAGGTACCAGGCATGTTGGAGGTAGACACCGGGGGGTACAGACCGGCGTCCAGATAGGCACTGCTGGATCAGAATCTCTTTAGACTTGATCATTCTGTTCCTCAGACTTTGGAAGGTGGGGAGCTGAGGGGCCCTGGGGGTGGCCGGTGGGGACCGCTGCGTGGCAGGGCACGTGCACTTAGGGCCACTGAACCATGCGTTTAAGAACGGCTGAGGTGGTGAGTTTTGTGTTTTGTTTTACCGCAGTAAAGAAACATGAGAGCGTGACAGAGATAAATGCAGAGGAACACAAACAATAGAGCCTAAAATGCCTAGGACTTTGTAAGCCTTTCCTGTACCCACCACATGGTTTCGTTTTCCTGACCTCGAGGGGTGCTCCGTAGGGCTGGTGCCCTGCCTCCCGGGTCTTGGCCGCTGGTGTGGGAGTGAGCCGTGGAGGTGGACAGTGGTGCTCCTCTGTCTGTTACCTTAGCGCTTGCGTCTCCTCGGTCAGAAGAGCCCACCAGCGTGCTCTGGTGCAGGCCTGGGCGGGCGGCCTGTGGAAGCACCAGCAGCATTTTCTGTATTTAGTTGTAGCTTCGAGACCTTTGTAGGTGTGTGTGCAGTCGTGAGAAAGAATTCAGAGAGCACCTGTCTATCCTTTGCCCCATTTCCCCCAGCGTAACGCTTTGCGAAACCAGTCACTACCACCACCAGGATGATGACCTTGAGGCCACCCACCATTCTCCTTCCCATTTAACCATTCACCTGTGGGAGGTGCTCCGGGCCGGCTTTAGTTTGGGCTGTTCCGAGGAAGCGCATGCTCGCGGACAGGTTTTGTGTGAACGTAAATCTTCATGTGTCTGGGGCGGACGCCCAGGAGTGTCCTTGCCGAGTCGGACGGTGGTCGTAACTGCCCTCCCCGGTGGCCACACCGTCTCACGTTCCCTGCAGTGAGGTTTGCGCGTGTGCCTCGGTCTCCTGCCGCCTCACCAGCACCTGGTGGCGCCTCTGCTTTCCCTCATACAGAACTGTGGTTGTCTTGCTCTAGGAGAAAGTTCAGAAGGACTCACTGAGGCCAGAGGCCCTGCGGTACCTGGAGCGACTGATCAAGCTGGGCAGGAGGAACGGGCTGCACCTGCCCGAGGACACTCAGCAAGTGAGTACCAGCTGTCGGGGCTGGGGTGGGCCCCCCTGCTTGCGCGCGGCGTCAGAGGGCCCAGCCTATGGCTGGGTGCCCACCTCTCTGCTGCCTCCATTCTGGGGAGGGAGGTCTGTCTGGAGTAGGTCTGCCTTTGCACCCACCTGCTCTGGATTCTCCAGGGTTATGGTGTGCGCTCCCTCAGCCACAGAGAGGGCGCGGTGCAGGGGGCACACCTCATCGGTCCCCTCCGTGACTTCAGTGCGGTGGCATTAAGGAAGAGCTCACTGTGGCTAGGGGCCTCTGTTCTCCATACCCGCTACAATGGCATGGCTTCCCTCTGACACCGCACGTGTGGGGGTTCCCGCATCACTCACCACTCTGTGACACCAGCAGGTGTCCTACAGTCAGACTCAAACACACTTACCTGGAGGCGGTGTGATCCAGGTGGTTCTCTCTCCTTCTGACTGACCAGTCTGGGTCAGAGGTTCCCACCACCTTTTCCTCACGCTCAAGTCATTTGCTAGAGCCGCTCACAGAACTCAGGAAAAGCTTGCTTAGTACTACTGACTTACCGTAAAGGGTATAACCTGGAACGGCAAGGTCTGGGGGAGAGGCACGGAGCTCTGCCCCCCGCCCCGTGTGCACCACGCCGGAAGCTCTCTGAACCCCGTCCTTTAGGAGTTCTATGGGGGCCTCATTGTGTAGGCATGACTGATTAAACTACTGGTGATTGATTGAACCTGCAGCCTCCGGCCCCTCTCCCCTCCCAGGGTAGCAGGGGGTGCCACCAGCCCCCATCCTCAGGGGCTTTCCAAAAGTCATCTCGTTAATATGCATTCGACTGTGGTTGAAAGGGGCTGGTGATAAGCAACACGATGGGCCCCACTCCTCTGTCACTCGGGCTGTTGCAGTTTCTTGTGACCACAGAAGAAAGTCCAAGGGTTTTAGGAGCTGTGTGCCGGGAATGGGGACGAAGACCAAATACACATTGCTTATCGTAAGTCCCAGCCTCACAGATGGCATCTCCTGCGTTCTGGCCTGGATCAGCGGGCGAGCAGGGCCGTGCCTGCCCCCTGTCCTGTGGTTAATCACTGAGGATCTTTGTTCCCCCCATTCCCTCCCCGTTTTCTCTGCCAGGCAGCCACGTAAAGGAGACGGCTGGGCTGTGGGCTCTGGACTGGCTCGTTGGCACATAACAGGTGCCCTTAAGGGTGAGCTGTTTACCATCCCCAGGAACTGGCCACCCCTCCCGGTCAGCGAGACCCCCAGATGGGAAAGCACCAAGACAGGAAAGACACAGTTAATGCCGACACTAGGTCCGTGCCCAGAGCTCAGCGACTGTCCCTCTTGTCACTTAGAACGGACGCCAGCACCTCTAGCTTGTGGTTGAAGAAACCAGGACTCCAAGGGCTGAGGCATGTTTGTTAACACCAGAGCCGGTGAGGGGCGCCCGGCTGGCTCAGTCGGTAGAGTGTGCGACTCTTGCTCTTGGGGTCGTGAGTTCAGCCCCACGTTGGGTGTGGAGGTCGCTTAAAAATAAAAATCTTTTTTTTTTAATACACGTTTCTTTTTTTAATTAATATGTTTTTTTTGGGAGAGAGAGTTGGCGTGCGCATGAGCCAGGGAGGCGCAGAGAGAATCTCAAGCAGACTCCCCGCTGAGCATGGAGCCCTGCATGGGGCTTGATCCCAGAACCCTGAGATCATGACCTGAGCTGAAACCAAGAGTCAGACACTCAACCAACTGAGCCACCCAGGTGCCCCCGTAAAAATAAGAAACTTAAAAACAAAAACAAGAAAACCAGTGCCAGTGGGACTGGAGTCCGATTCCATCGCGGGACTGTGGGACCCAGAGCCCAGTGCGGTGCCTCCGCTCCAGCAGGTGCAGGTGCTACGCTCGGCCAGAGCGACGGCAGCAGAGCTGCCGTTTTCATTTTTTTTTTTTTCTAAGATTTTATTTACTTATTCATGAGAGAGAGAGAGAGAGAGGCAGAGGGAGAAGCAGACTTCCCACAGAGCGGGGAGCCCGATACAGGACTCGATCCCAGGATTAAACTACGGGATCATGACCCGAGCCGAAGGCAGACGCTTAACCATCTGAGCCACCCAGGCGCCCTTCATTTTTTATAAAGTAGGTTCCACACCCAACGTGGGGCTTGAACCCACGACCCCGAGATCGAGTCACGTGCTCCCCTGACCGAGCTGGCCAGGCGCCCCACAGTTCTTACAGCTCCGTCACGATGTTGAAAGGCCGGCGTGTGTGCACGGGGGGCCGCACAGACGGTGACTTGGGGGCCACCTTGCTGGAAGGGACACGGAGCACCATGTGGAGCCGGGGCAGGGGGCTGGGTGGGGGCCCCGGAGCGTTGTCTCGTTCTGCGAGGGCACGTGCTGTTTCCCTGCCGCATCTCAGAACCGTAAGTGGCTCAGCTTCGGTGAGATGAGCAAGTGAGGGCTGGGGCCGGCGAGGCCCAGTGCGCCTGTGTGGGCTGGTTCTGAGCCAGGGTCTCGCCCAAGGAGCCCCGCGTTGCCCGCGAAGCTGTCGGGCACGCTTGCCCTGCCCCGCCCCCCTGTCCTGCTAGCGCAGAGCCTCTGTCGTCAGGCCCAGGGCTGGGCTCAGCTCCAGGCCCCCCGGAGGTGGCGGTGGGCCCACGTTGTGGCCCCACGGCACCCCCTCCTGCGCCGCGCCTCGCCCCCCTCAGAAGTTTCCACGTTGAGGCTTAGCCCTGCTGCTCTGTCAAAATGTCCGAAAGCCTAGGCTGCGGACTCTGAAGGTAGTAGGGTCCAGAATGCTCTTGGCTGGGGACACGTAACCGATGGGGACGCTAGCCGAGGTCCCCAGGGTCTCCAAGGCCGCTCAGTATGGAAGCCCGTGTCTGTGTTCTGTTGGCGCTGTGCACAGCGGTGTTAGAACCTGATGTCTGTGTCTTTTCCGTCCCTCTTCTCGCCTCCCTTGTCTCTTCTGCCCGTAGGGAGGGAGCCCCCAGCCCTGGTGGAAGCACTCCACTCACAGCTGTGCTCCTCCCTCCAGAAAATCAAGAGCATTAAGAAGAAGCTGAGTCTTCTGTGCATCGACTTCAACAAGAACCTGAACGAGGACACGACCTTCCTGCCACTGACGCGAGAGGAGCTGGGTACTGGCAGGGGATTCAGGTGGGGGCGGGGGGCTGATTCGCGGCCTCAGGACCCTTGCAGGCCGTGGCCACCACCCGCAGGCTTCCGAAGTGCGGGAACGTCTGTGTCCCACCGCCCTGGGCGAGGGGCTTTCTTCCCTTGGAGCAGTCAGCACTTTCTAGATCCTTCCTCGAGCAGTGCCCAAAGCGCTGGGTCAGGCGGCTGAGTTAGCCAGGATTTCCCCTTTGAGGCCCACGCCCCCACCTGCTGCTTTTCTCGTTTGAATCTTGTAAGAGGATCAGATAGACTCAATCCCAGCTGGTTCTTTTTCCCACACCTGGCTGTAGGTGGGAATTACAAAAGGTTGGGGCCGAGGTGTCTTTTTTAATTTGTAGTCTTTGCTTCTCTTGCCCCAGCTGTTTCATTTCAAAAAACTTGACACTGTGGGAAAGTTGTAAGGACCGTACCGTGGGAAGCCCTGTGCCCTCGGCGTCCCCAAGCTGACGGTGCACCTTCTGTCCTTTCCGTGGACACTGCCACACATATGTTCCCCCCGCTGTGGGAGAGTCGTGTGTAGGCCTGTGAGCCTTCCCCAGGAGTGCACCTCGCACTCGGAATGGCTGCATCGTGGAGAACACAATCTGTGTCCCCCTGTGCCGCCGGGGACACTCCTTGTATTCCTCTCCGCCGTCGCGTCCGCTCACAGAGCACCCGTCACATGGAGTTTTCCTGGCTCTTTAGGCTCCTCTTTAGCCGCCCCTCAGCCGTTCACACAAGTGTTGTCATCTCTCCTGACGTGGACGCTTTTGAAAAGCCCAGGCCCTGGTTTTGCTGCTGCCTGGGGGCTGGCCGTGCCGGGCCTCGTGGCCAGAGCTCCCCCCCAACCACTGCCAGAGGTCCCCCACCCCCCGCCCCGCACCTGGAGGCCCCCAAGGGCAGCTGGCTTGCAAAGGGGCCCACAGCGGCGGGCCTTCCCAAGCAGGGGCTTGCAGGTCGGTCAGCGCTGCCCTCTGCTGCCCTTTGTTCTGGTTCGGTCCCTTCCGTGCCTGGGCCTCAGGCGGCACGTCCCCCCACGTGGCTCCCCGTGTAAGGACACGCGCCCACTGTGTTTCCTGGCCAGAGGAGGATCCGGGTCTCGAATTCGGCCGACAAATTTGCTCGCCCACACCCTCGCATGGGCCGGCTTTTCGGCCCATTTGTCTAGCTCGAGGGGCCTCCCGTGGAGCAGAGCCGGCCTCAGAGGGCAGAGGCGGTGACCACGGCCTGGGCGGCCAGCCTGTAGGTCTTGCTGAGCAAGGGTGTGGCGCGTGTTGATTTCCTTCTGCTTGCCAAAGGGAGAGTTGGTGTCCCTTTACAGGGTCTCGGACAGCATGTCTCTCACTCTGTCCCCTTCCCCGAGTCTCCGCTGCTCGGGGAAGGCGCTCCTCTGCCGGGTGTCTCCCTGGTCGGCAGCAACTCCGGGGTGGCCCTGGGCTGCAGCCCCTGCCGTGTGCTGCTGGGTGAAGCTCCCGCGAATGGTCTTCTGACCCCGTCGTTGCTGTGCGTTTGTGTGCTGGTCTCTCGAGTCAGCACCTCCCCCCAGTAGTGGATTTATCTGCAGTGGCGGTGTGGACAGAGGCCCCGTTAACTCCCGGGGTTGTGGTCTCTGCTGTCCCTGTTTTGATGCTCACATTGTCCCAGTTCCACCTCAAGAGCCTCTGCAGCTTGAAGTGTCCCTGTTACTCTGTGAGCACTTTCTTTGAGACTTGGGTTCCAGGCTCCTTTTGTCCCCACCCTGGCCTGGGCGGCTGTTTAGAAACCGCGATGTGGGTGCCGGGCGTGCCCATTGCTGCTGTGGGCCTGTTGTTCCCAGGCCCTGTCCCAGAGTTAGGAAACGGGCGTCTGCACACGCGCACACGTGCACACGCTTGTGCACGCAGCGAGCTCTGCCCACCCTGCCGCCCAGCGTCCCTTCTCACCTGTCCGGAGGGCCCCGGGCAAGCTGGCCTTGGAAGGAGCTGTGGGCCAGGTCGGAGCTGGGGCTGTGATGGCCCCTGGCGGTTTTCAGTCTGAGGTGATGCACCCGGATCTCTGTCTTAGGAGGACAGTTCGGCGCAGGGAGCCGGGTGGGGGCCTTTGCAGAAGTTCGGCCCGTCAGGAGGGCGAGGGTGGCATCTCTCCACCCCTCGTGTCACTGTTGGGGGAGGGACGAGGGAAGAGACTGCAGTTCCCGGAAGCCCCCTGTTTCGGGGTTGAGCCGAGGGGAGCTTTTCCTCCCTGGGAGCCCTGGTGGGAAGGGCAGCAGCTCTCCGTCTTCCCAGAGGGGCTCAGGGCAGGGTGGGGAGGCCGGGCCTGGCGCCCTGTTCCCCGTAGGCTCCCAGTCCTAGCCTCTCGCGTGCTTCCAGCCCCAGCTGCATGGGCCTGGCAGCTTCTCGGGCCTGTGGCAGGCGTGGCTTTGTTCCCGCAGGAGGCCTCCCGGAGGACTTTTTGAACTCGCTGGAGAAGGCTGGGGATGACAAGTTGAAAGTCACCCTCAAGTACCCACATTATTTTCCCCTCCTGAAGAAATGCCACGTGCCTGAGACCAGGAGGAAGGTGGAGGAGGCCTTTAACTGTCGCTGCAAGCAGGTGGGAGGGCAATGCCTGGAAGTCGCGGGGCCTGTCCTGTCTGCCCGGTGCCTCCTGGGCCGGGCTCGGGGGTCGGCAAGCCCCGGGTGAGCTCAGCCTGCCCCTCCCAGACTTCCATGCCGGGGCTGGCTCTGGCTCTGGGCCCGGGGCCACAGCTCAGGGTCTGACCCCTTCCCCAAGCCAGTCCTGTGTCTGTGTGACCATCCGCTGCTCCCGCGCCTTAGCTTCGGTCATCCCCTCTCTCTCTCTCCAGTGGCGTTGCTGGGGCTTGAGCTGGGGTCTGCAGACGCGCCCTCCCCTTTTCTGTGTCTTGTGTGGTGGCCTGGGCCCTCTAACTGCGGCCTGGGGCGTGTCTTCAGCGCACAGACATCCATTCCCACACAGACGCTTGTGTTTGTGTCCACGCCGCGGTGTGGCCTCGCTTCTCCTGTTCAGTGTCTCCAGCAGACGGGGGTGAGCTCCCCGTGCACAGTGCCCCCTGCGGCTCACCTGGCCCCACATTGCTGTCCACTCACGGCCTTCGAACCCTTCACGGTCACACCCTTTCTGGGTCCAGAAGGGACCTGAGGATTAATAGAGAGATGCATGTGTTATGGCAGGACCACAGGGCAGCCATGGAAACCTAGGCCATGGGAAGGGGGGGTGGGGACGAGATGCAGCTGGCTGGGTCCTGGCATTCCAGAACTGTGCTGGCCACGGGACCCAAGTGGGAGGTGGTGGGCCTGGCGCCCACAGAGCTGGTCGTTGGTCGGTTCCAGGAGAATTGTGCGATCCTCAGAGAGCTGGTGACCCTCCGGGCCCAGAAGTCCAGCCTGCTGGGATTCAGCACGCATGCCGACTACGTCCTGGAGATGAACATGGCTAAGAGCAGCCAGGTGGTGGCCACTTTCCTAGGTAACCCTTTGCCTCCCTCAGCCTCCCGCCGTGGGTTCCAGGAGTGGGGTTCAGGTTATTCTTGCCTGCAATGTGGTGAGGCCTCCGAGAGCCACATTCTGTCCACCCTACAGTGGGAATCCTAACACCTCCCTGACCCCTGTTCAGCCTCAAGGGGCTCGAACCTGATGGCCGAGCGTAGGGCTCTGGGGTGAGCCTGCGTCTGCCCCTGCGCTGCTGCGTCCTGGTGTGAGCTCTGGGCAAGCGTCCCTGCTCTGGCCATCCTTTCCTGCTCGTGGAAGGAGACCGAGGGGCCCCTGCCCGCACCCCCACCTGCTGCAGGGCGATGTCTGTCTGGCTTGTGCCAGCGGTCTGGCCTTGCAGGTGGCATGCTGGTGCCATCGTGCTGCGGACCGGGGCTGGCGGGGGAGCCGCCGCAGGGTAGCCTAGCCTTCCCCTCTGCCCTCTCCAGATGAGCTGGCCCAGAAGCTGAAGCCCCTGGGGGAGCAGGAGCGGGCCGTGATCCTGGAGCTGAAGAAGGCCGAGTGCGAGAAGCGGGGCCTGGACTTTGACGGGCGCATCAACGCCTGGGACATGCGCTACTACATGAACCAGGTGGAGGAGACCCGCTACAGCGTGGACCAGAACCTGCTCAAGGAGTACTTCCCCATGCAGGTGGTCACCAAGGGCTTGCTCAGCATCTACCAGGAGCTGCTGGGGCTGACCTTCGACCTGGAGGAGAGCGCCACCGTGTGGCACGAGGACGTGAAGCTGTACTCCGTGAGGGACTCGGCCTCAGGGAAGGTCATTGGGAAGTTCTACCTGGACCTTTACCCAAGGTGCGGGTGAGCCCGGACGGAGACCCTTCCTTGCACCTCAGCGTCTCCATCTGTGGAACGGGTTGTGGGGCTTCCGCGGTGCAGGGCCGGCTGAGGGGCCCGGAGTGCTCACTGCCCAGGGAGGAGGGTGCCCAGGAGGTTCCGCCCGAGCCGTGGGACAGAGTGTGGGGCAGGCCCCCGGCTGCCGAGGAGCAGGTTTGAGCTGCTCTGTGCAGGTGCCTGGGCTGGCAGATGGGTTGGTTAGGGGCTCCGGCGGGGTCAGGAGCCCTGTGGGCCAGGCGGTGTGTGCCGCAGATCCCTGGCTGGGCCCGACCCTGCCTCCATCCCCAGGGAAGGGAAGTACGGGCACGCGGCCTGCTTCGGCTTGCAGCCAGGCTGCCTGCGGCACGACGGGACCCGCCAGATCGCCATCGCGGCCATGGTGGCCAACTTCACCAAGCCTACCCCGGACGCCCCGTCCCTGCTGCAGCATGATGAGGTGGAGACCTACTTCCACGAGTTCGGGCACGTGATGCACCAGCTCTGCTCTCAGGTGGGTGCAGGGGCCTCGGGGACGGGCGCGGTGCTGGCGGTTGGTGCGTCTGGAGGCAGCCGCCTCCCTGGACGGCGCCCCGCTCCTTGGGTCACCACCGGGCCCTGCAGACGGCTGGCTCACTGGATAGAAATGTGTCTCAGCGGGGCTGGGGGTCTGCGGTCAGGGTCAGCGGTGCCCGCAGCCGCTGTCTCCTCACGCCCTCACACCGTTGTCCCTCTGTGTGTGTCTGTGTCCTCCTCTTCTCCCATAAGATTGCTGGTCATTGGGTTAGGGCCACCCTAACTCGTTTTAAGCTGAATGTTTCAGTGATCGTTAGTTTACCAAGTCACGTAGCCATCACTGCTACCCAAACTTTTTTTTTTTTTTTAAAGATTTTATTTATTTGAGAGAGAGAGAATGAGAGAGAGCAAGCACATGAGTGGGGGAGGGTCAGAGGGAGAAGCAGGCTCCCCGCCGAGCAGGGAGCCCGATGCGGGACTCGATCCAGGGACTCCAGGACCATGACCCGAGCCGAAGGCAGTCGCTTAACCAACTGAGCCACTCAGGCGCCCATACCCAAACGTTTTGAAACATTTCCGTCACGAGAAAGAGCCTTCGTCCCTTGTAGTTGTCCCCCCGCGGCCCCCACGAGCCCCCTTCCCGTCTGCGGATGAGCCCGTTCTGGATGTGTCACCCACGTGGACTCACACCCCGTGTGGCCTTCCGTGTCTGGTTCCCTCCCTGAGCGTCGTGGGCTCGGGGTCCGTCCCCAGGGCCGAGCGTGTGGGCGCCTCGCCCCTGTTTTCTGCCGAGTAACATGCCTGCGCGTGGGATGCGCTGAGAAGTGTGTTTTGAGCAGAGGGTTTGACTTTGGTGTTCAGTGCACTGTCTTTTTTATTTCATGGTTTTCACTTTTTGTGTCTTGTTGAAGAGATCGTTTTCTCCTAATTTTCCTTTTTTAGAAGTCTGGGCTTTAGCTCTTTGTGTCTGTCTATCGTCCGCTGTGCGATAAGTTTCGTCTCGGGGTGATGGCGCTCAGCGCTCCTCAGGGCAGGGCGGCGTCTGCAGCCCTGGGGCCTGTGTGCCCCGGCCGCCTTGCCCTGTCCACACTCCCCTCGCCTCTGCCTGCCTCCGCGCTGCGTGCCCACGGGGTATGTCCCGGATCTGGAACGTTCTTTTGCCAGTGACTCTCATGGCTCCCTCATTTCCTTCAGGTCTTTGCAGAGACACGTGCTCACTGTTGGCAGTTCTGTAAAGTCACTGCGAGCGCAGTTCGCAGATACCGAAGCAGGGCTCCCGCGGGAACACAGGGTTGGGTCCCTCGGGTCGTGCGTGTTTCTGTTTACAGACACCTCCGGTAGGTGCTGCTGATCCGTCACACTGAGCTCCCAGCCGACCGCGCTGCAGCTCACGCATTTGACCGCGGGCTGTCCCTGCACATCACGGCCTTCTTGCCCTCAGGAAAGCCGGAAACCACTTCAGCGTGGCAGTTGGGATCCATTTTATTTATTTTTAAAGTTTTTATTTATTTATTTGAGAGAGTGAGAGTGAGCACAAGCAGGGGGAGTGGGAGAGGGAGAAGCAGGCTTTCCACAAGCAGGGGGAGTGAGAGAGGGAGAAGCAGGCTTCCCGCCGAGCAGGGAGCCCGATGCGGGGCTTGATCCCAGGACCCCGGGATCATG